GCGACCAGGATTGTTTGCCTGCGGCTCCAGCCGGGGGGCAAGGAGCAGGGAAGGCTTTGTTCCCAAATCCCGGCCTCAAAGGAGAAGAGAATTAAAGGGGGGGAGAGAAGCAAAGCTGGAGAGGGGAGAGGAATAAGGGGCCTCCCAGCGACAGGGGAAGCGGAGGCCTCAGACAACAGAGCCTGCCTGGGAAAGCTGGGAAGCGCCCCCGCCCCCACCCCAGAGGAGCCTTTCCTCTAAGTGAGGTTTCCCACTGCTGGAGGCTGTAATTAGAGCAAATTTACTGCAAGGCCTGAGCAGGGCTGCCTTCCCGGGGGGAGGGGCGGCCGGATCCCATCCCCCAGCCGGCCTGGGGCTGCTCTCCTCCCCAGCGAGCACATCACCGCCTGGTGCCACTTTTCCCCCCATCTTCCCGCTGGGTGTTGCCTTGCAGAGACGCATCTGCACCGCTCCGCAGATCAGGCCGAGCAGGGTTAAAAAATACACTTCAATCCCCTCCGTGTAAGCCCCAGTGTAAACCTGTCCCACTGACCCATCCCTCCTCTCTAATACCACTGCCTTAATCCGATTATGAAACTGGACATGCAAGTGCTCAGGGGAGGCAGCGGCAGTCTCCGGCCAGCAGCTGCCCCGGCCCTCCTCCTCCTCTTCCGTGCGAGACAGCCGCTCCCCGAGCAGCGAGCCCCGTGCGCCCCCGACTCTGTGGAAGGATTACTCCCTTGCCTTGTCCCCAGGAAGCATCTGCATTGCTGCCTTCTCTGGAACAGCCTGTCGGTGAGGGCAGAACGCTGCCCATACCCCCGTGCAGGCAGCTACTGGCTTCACTCGTGGAAAGCCCACAGCCCCAGTCAGGGAAGGGAGAGGGCTCCTAGCCTCAGCCCCCCCAGGACAAAACAGGACACCCGGCTCCACCTCAGTGCCACAAGGATGGAAGCAGCCCTTGCTAACGTTTCCAGTGCCACCACAAGCAGAGATTGTCTTTGATGCCCTTGGGCTTGTCCAACACGTCCACCCCGCAAGAGCCAGGTGACAACAGACAACCCGACTCCCGCTCATCCCGCACTCTTCCCGTCCCACCTCAGCCTCCCTTGGCCAAGCCAACAAACACCTGAGAAACGTGCCAGGCGTCCAGCTGGAGCCATGGGGGATGTAAGACTTCACAGAGACCCAAAGCAACTCCTCAGCAGCTTCCCAAGACACAGCCAGCTCATCACACTGCCATTCCCCATCGCCACTTGCTCCTGCCCCTGCACCATTTGCCTTCATGGTGCTGGGGGGAAACCTGATGTAGCTTAAAAATATTTCAAGAAGCTTTACTGTCTCTTTTTGTTCTTTTTTTAAGCCAGATCCGCTCCTCCACCCAGTTCTCAGAAAGGCTGGGCACATAGCTGTCCTCCTCCCCAGTAAACACTGGGAGAAAGCTGTGTCAATGGCACTTTGCAGCGGTGCTGCCCCTGAAGACTTCAACTTGGGTAGCTGGAGCCCACAAACCCATCGCAATGAGAGATGTGCACGAGAAAGAAAAACCCAGCGGGGGCGCGCACAGCCCAGCTGCTGCCTTACTCTGTCCGACCAACCCCAGCAACAACCTCTTCCTCGCAGAGCCTGGACAGCGGTAGCAGCTGCAAGCGGCAGAGCCCAGCGCACGTCCACACACAAAACCACCTCACGCCAATGGCCCGGGCCACGGCCCAGGCGCTCCCGCAGCACTTGGAGCCGGGAGAAGTGCCACTGCTTCATCCCAAACCGCACTCCGTACGCCGAGAGGAGAGCTGCAGCCTTCCTCCGTCTGAGCCTTTTTCCAAGCTTCTGCCGGTGCTTTGAGATCAGGTGTCTACCCAACACCCCAAAACATCTTGTGAAAACAGATCTACGGTAACATGTACTCTATTTGAAAGCTGTTTCCTGCTATGAGCTAAATCTAAGATAGATAGATGTATACGTATGCGTATATACACATAATATGTGAAATAGTCTCACCCCACTCAACTCTAGGGCCCCAGCTCTATGTATAGCTACAACTGGTGGTTTTTATTGACAACAAAACCTATACACCGATACATGAGCATCTTCTCGTCTCCTTCCAAGGCAACAGGTGAGATGAGTTGGGTGGTCTCAGGCAGCACGCAGCCAGTGACGTGAGATAAAGCAGGGCCCTGCAACCCGGGAGGTTGTGGAGGTAGTGCTGGAGTGTACAAAGGCCAGCGGGACAGGCTGCAGACCGGAGCACGCTGCAGAGCCGGGAGAAAGGCCTCACCTGCATCCACAGGGAACAGCCATTTCCAGGACTCTGCCCAGGGGGGCCGGCCTCACGCTCACGCCAGATCCCTCCTAGCTCTTGCCATCACCTCCCCCGGTCTGGAGCTAGGGGAGGGGACGGGGACCGGCTGCCTCAGCTCGCAGGGATCCCTGAGGCCCAGCACTGCCCGAACACCCGCGCAGACCCTCGCACAAAGCGCTGACCGCCGAGGGGATGGAAGTACCGTGGC